GCTTGCTGGGCCTGATCCGCCGCTGGGTCACGCGCCTATGATCTTGCAGGCGCGACGCGTCTTGCCAGGAATGTGAAAGGGAGGGGGAGGAGGGGGAGGAAGGAGAGGAGGAGGAGGAGGAGGAGGAGGACGGAGCGAGGGGGGAGGGGTGAGGGCGGAAGGAGGAGGGGGGAGGGAGGAGAAGGAGGGGAGGCGGGAGAGAAGGAGGGAGGAGGGAGGAGGGAGGAGGGAGGAGGGAGGGGGAGGAGGGAGGGAGCATAAAGGAGGAGGGAGGGAGGAGGGCAGAGGGAGGAGGGAGGAGGGTGGAGGGAGGAGGGAGGAGGGAGGAGGGGGGTGGGAGAGGAGGAGAAGCGAGGAGGGAGGAGGGAGGAGGGAGGAGAGAGGAGGGAGGAGGGAGGAGGAGGAGGGAGGAGGGGATGAGGAGGATGAGGAGGAGGGGGAGGGGAGGAGGAGGTGGAGGAGGAGGAGGAGGAGGAGGAGGGGGAGGAGGAGGAGGAGGAGGAGGAGGAGGAGGATGAGGGAGAGTAGGAGCGGCAGCAGCAGTATGAGAACGGGAGGACAGGAGGAAAGGAGCGACCGATGGATTTGTTCTCCGCCCCAAAACCCTGCCCCCCCAGTGACGGACGCAGGCAATTTTGGAAGATAATGGGTGGAAAGCGGGAGGGGCTGGAGAGAGAGGTGAGAGGGAGGGGGAAGCGATGGGCAGGGTTGGGAATGGGTGTTGGAGTGGGATGGGAGGGTGGGGAAGACTAGTGAGCGGGAAGGGAAAAAGAGAGAGAGAGAGAGAAAGAGAGAGAGAGAGAGGTGAGGGGATGTACTGGGAGCGTTTTGGAGCGGTGAGTCTCCCTCGCTCTCCCTCTCTCTCTCTTCTCTTCTCTTTCTCTCTACTCTCTCTCTCTCTCTCTTTCGCTCTCCTCCTCCCTGCCTTTCTCCGGCCTTTGTTTCTTTTAATACTTGCAGTTCTCTTTGTAGACGTACACTTGTATGCATTGCATAGGTATATGCATAATCACATATTTACCTTTCAATATTTTTGAATATGGGACCCTGCGACCTCCCTCTCTCCACGGGATTGCTCCGTATCCTTGGCACCAGGGGCACCCTGGAGGCCCTTGCAGACGGTTCCCTGTGCTTTCTGGGGCTCCTAGGCAACGGACCCAAATCGGTCAGGAGGGCGGCCAGACGTCCCAACGAAAGCCCACAGAGGCCCCAGACACACACACACACACCGGGACGCCCGAAGACGACCCAAAGAAGACCCCCAAGAGGCATTCGAAATGTAAAACAACAATGTTTCCATATGGTTTTTGCATGATTTTGGGAATGCTCAATTCTTCTGTCTTCTGGGCGTCGTAGACCGCCCAGGAGGCCAGATAATCGCCCCAACTTTAACCAACAGGGCTTCCAGGCAGTCCAAGAGGAGCCCCAAGATGGCCCAGCAGGGCTCTAAGATGACCCGAGGAGAGCCCCATGACAGCCCAAGATAGCCCCAAGACGCCTCCGGGATCATTCCAAATCGTGACCCGGTCGTTCAGGGAGACCGCGTTTGGAGGCAAAGTGGTCCGGGGAAGCCCCTAGAGGCTCCCAGGAGGAACCAAGGAGGCTTTCAGAATGCCCCAACAAGACCTTAAAAACCTTCGCGAGACTTACAATATGTTTTATTAGGATGAGGTTTGGAACAAAAAGGTAAGGTTGGGAACGAACCCGCAGGGTAGGGCGAGAATGAAGAGGAAGAGGAAACATGAGGGAAGGATAACGAAGCACATCATTGCACCGACGATGCTAGAAAAAACAACAGCGAATTATCGCTAAATGCTCCGTTTCACCTTATTGCCCTCTTGAGTGCATGCCTAGCCTCAAGGACCAACGTGCATGACGCGAGGCGCCAATGTAATCTTGTACACATATTGAAGGTGTTTGTATATGTGTATGTATAAAAGTAGTTGCTCGCCGCGCCAGCGTATATATATATATATATATGTATATATATATATATATACACAGAAAGGAACCCTGTGCGGGCTGGTTTTCGGAGATCCGTGGGGCCGTCCGCGATGCCTTTGGACTTGAATCCAGCAAGACGTTCTCAGAGAACCCTCGGTGGGATGAGGCGGGAGAGGTCTTCGGTAAAGCGCGCGGGAAACAATAAGAAACTCATAGCACGCAAACAGATCCCCAGAGCTCGTGCATAGAATTCTGTAAGCCTGAATACGAAAACTAAAACAACACAAGGAAAACCAAACAAACAAAACACCAATCCCTGGGGAGATCCTGGGGGAAATCTCCACAGATTTTTTTTTTTTTTTTTTTTTGGGTTTCCATTTTTTCAGAGCTGGAAAATAAAAAAAAAGAAACACAAGGAAAACCAAACAAACAAAAAAACAATCCCTGGGGAGGTCCTGGGGAAATCTCTTGAGGGGTTGTTTTTTTTGTTTTCCTTAGGTTTTTTGGTTATGAGATCAAAAAATATAAAAAACCATAATGTGTTTTTGTTTTCGGAAGGAAACGCAAACAACACCATGCTTTTTGGTTGTCGTAAGGAAAATCAAAAAAAACATTGAGTTTTTGGTTTCTGAAATGAGAAACTAAAAAAAAACATTGGTTTTTGTTTTTGAAATGAAAACCCAAAAAACCCAAGGACAACCAAAAACCCAAACAAACAATTCCTGCAGAAGTCTTTGGGGGAACGACTTCTCCAGGGATTGTTTCCCAACCATCCTGTGGTGTTGGGTCCTCGTTTTGAAGAGACGGTGCCCGCGTCCTCTCCTCCTCCTCCTCCCCCTCCTCCTCCCTCCTCCCCCTCTTCCCTGCGTTTCACCCACCCAGGGCAGCGCTTCGTAGCCCCATAGGGAGCTCCACCGAAGGCCCCAGTGGGGGTGTTCGCATGCGGTTCCCCCACCCAGGGCAGCGATTCGTGGCCCCATAGGGAGCTCCACCGAAGGCCCCAGTGGGGGTGTTCGCATGCGGTTCCCCCACCCAGGGCAGCGTTTCGTGGCCCCATAGGGAGCTCCACCGAAGGCCCCAGTGGGGGTGTTCGCATGCGGTTCCCCCACCCAGGGCAGCGTTTCGTAGCCCCATAGGGAGCTCCACCGAAGGCCCCAGTGGGGGTGTTCGCATGCGGTTCCCCCACCAGGGCAGCGTTTCGTGGCCCCATAGGGAGCTCCACCGAAGGCCCCAGTGGGGGTGTTCGCATGCGGTTCCCCCACCCAGGGCAGCGTTT